GCCAAGATCGACACTATTGTGAATATGCCGGAGCCTCGAAATATTCATGAGTTGAAGAGTTTGCAAGGAAAATTGGCTTACATACGGAGGTTCATCTCGAAGTTATCCGGAAGATGTCAACCATTTAGTCGAATTATGAAGAAGGGTGTGCCTTTCATATGGGACCAAACGTGTAAGAATGCGTTTGAAAATATCAAGGCTTATTTGATGAAACCACCGGTCCTAAATGCACCTATCTCTGGCCGCCCTTTGATACTTTACATTGCTGCTCAAGAAAGGTCTGTGGGAGCTCTATTAGCTCAAGAAAATGATAAAGGGAAGGAGAATGCCCTTTATTATTTAAGCAGAATGATGACCCCACACGAGTTGAAGTACTTGCCCATTGAGAAATTGTGTTTGGCCCTTATATTTGCAATCAAGAAGCTTAAACACTACTTTGAAGCTCACACGATAAATCTTGTCTCCAGAGCAAATCCGCTGAAATATGTGATGTCCAAAGTGGTTCTATCTGATCGTCTTGCTAGGTGGTACTTGATATTTCAACAATTTGAGATTGTTTATGTCTCACAAAAATCTGTAAAAGGACAAGCTTTGGCAGATTTCCTAGCCCATCACCCTATCCCTGCTGAGTGGGAACATTCTGATGATCTACCTGATGAAGATGTGCTCATAATTGAAGTTTTGCCTCCATGGAAGATGTATTTCGATGGAGCTGCACACAGAGAAGGTGTTGGAGCTGGTGTGGTCTTTGTTACACCCGAAGGTCAAGATCTGTCATATGCTTTCACGCTTACAGAACAATGCTCCAATAACGTCGCTGAGTATCAAGCACTCATTCTCGGACTTGAAATAGTTGTAGACATGAAGCAAACACGAGTTAATATCTATGGTGATTCAAAATTAATCATCAATCAAGTGCTTGGAATTTATGAAGTAAGGAAATCTGAACTGCATCCTTACAACAAATATGCAAGGGCATTCATAGGATGGCTGGGTGAAGTTACAATTGAACACGTGCCAAGAAAGGAAAACAAGCAAGCCGATGCACTGGCAGGGTTAGCATCGAACATGGCACACCTTGACGATGGAACTCAAGTACGGGTATGTCAAAAATGGGTAATTCCTCCATTCATTGGAGACGATGGTGTAGCCGAAGAGATAGTCGAGATGCCAACTACCTCGGTTTATGATATTGAAAATGAAGATTGGAGGCAGCCGCTCATTGATTATCTCACTGATGGGAAATTACCTGAAAATCCCCGCAAGAAAGTAGACTTGAAGAGGCGTTCACCGCATTTCATTTATTATAAAGATACACTTTATTGAAGATCATTCGATGGTGTATTCCTTAGGTGTTTGGGTGGAGATGAAGTCTTACTAGCAATGGAAGAAGCACATTCAGGAGTATGTGGAGCTCATCAGTCCGGTCCAAAGCTGCACTTTCATATCAAAAGAATGGGATATTATTGGCCGATCATGGTAAAGGATTGCATGAACTATGCTAAAAGATGTCAAGCATGCCAATATCACGCAAATTTCATCCATCAAGCACCAGAGCCTTTGCATCCGACAGTAGCATCATGGCCATTTGACGCTTGGGACTTGACGTGGTTGAGCCAATCACGCCTAGCTCATCAGGAGGGCATTCATACATACTAGCCGCTACTGATTACTTCTCAAAATGGGCCGAAGCAGTTGCATTGAAAGAGGTGAAGAAGGAAAATGTTGCTGATTTCATCCAAGTTCATATCATCTACCGCTTTGGTATTCCTCGATATATCTTGACGGACAATGGGAAACCTTTTGAAAACAAGTTGATGGAAAAGATATGCAAGTTATTTGATTTCAAGCAACGGATGTCCTCTATGTACTATGTTGCCGCCAATGGCCTCGCTGAAGCTTTTAACAAGACTCTATGCAACCTGTTGAAGAAAGTAGTGTCAAAATCAAAGAGGGATTGGCACGAAAGAATGGAAGAAGCATTATGGGCATATAAAACAACTTATCGAACACCTACTCAAAGCACTCCATATTCTTTGGTGTATGGTACCGAAGCAGTCCTTCCCCTTGAGCGCCAAATACCATCTCTGAGATTGGCTATTCAAGAAGGACTCACTGATGAAGAAAATGTCAAGTTGCGGTTGACAGAACTCGAGGCACTTGATGAAAAGAGGTTGGAAGCTCAGCAGAATCTAGAATGCTATCAGGCTCGTCTATCGAAATCATTCAACAAAAGGGTTAGAATTCGCTCATTCCAAGTTGGCGATAAAGTTCTAGCTGTGAGAAGACCTATCATTATCACACGAAAAACGGGGCACAAATTCTCACCTAAATGGGATGGTCCTTATGTTATTCAAGAAGTATATTCAGGCAGTGCCTACAAGTTGGTCGATGGAGATGGCTCAAAGATTGGCCTGAACAATGGAAGATTTTTAAAGCTCTACTACCCTTGATATTTGGGGTATAGATATGGCCATAAGAAATGTTGAATGGCTTAAAACTACCAATGATGTTGTAAGCGGCTAAACTGCTAAAACATCTCACTTTGTCTATGGGTGAGCATAATCATAGATACTCTTGGCCCACGAGAGTTTAAAATGTGTACGGCAAGCTCTTGGCCCACGAGAGTTTAAAATGTGTACGGCAAGCTCTTGGCCCACGAGAGTTTAAAACGTGTACGGCAAGCTCCTGGCCCGCACGAGTTAAAACTGTGTACAGTCCCTTCAAATTACCAATTCAAGTGGTACATATGAACTACGTTTAACTTGATCTCCTTCATAAGAGTACGTAGGCAGCTCAAAAGTTTCATTTTTGAGTTCAGTTATAACAAAACAAAACCCAATTAAGTTTTTAGCCAAAGGGATTACGAAAAACAAAGTCATACCAAGATGTGAGAGTTCTCAAGTCTGTGCCTCGCCTGAAATTGATTGAGTTGAGCTTCAAACGTCATCTTCTATCAGCGCCGCTCTAACCTTCAAACAGTTGAAGTGGTCATCATTCAAACTGGCTAAATGGCCAGCCTTCATAAACGGAAAAATGGCCGCCCTTCATAAATGGCATCAGCAGAGCTTTGTATTCATAGGACTTCATCGGCCTAATTCTTTAGATTGGTGCCACTAGCCCAACGAAGGGCCCCAAGTGACACCGATGACCGGCAATCGTACCAATTCTTTAGATCGGTGCCACTAACCCAACGAAGGGCCCCAAGCGACACCGATGACCGGCAATCGGACTAATTCTTTAGATCGGTGCCACTAACCCAACGAAGGGCCCCAAGCGACACTGACGACCGACAATCGGCCTAATTCTTTATATCGGTGCCACTAGCCCAACGAAGGGCCCCAAGCGACACCGATGACCGGCAATCGGCCTAATTCTTTAGATCGGTGCCACTAGTCCAACGAAAGGCCCCAAGTGACACTGATTACCGGCAATCAAACTAATCCTTTAGATCGGTGCCACTAGCCCAACGAAGGACCCCAAGTGACACCGACAACCGGCAATAGACCTATTTCTTTTGATCGGTGCCACTAGCCCAACGAAGGGTCCCAAGCGACACTGACGGTCGGAAATCGGCCTAATTCTTTAGATCAATGCCACTAGCCCAACGAAGAGCCCCAAGCGACATCGATGACTGGCTATCAGCCTAATTCTTTGAATTGGTGCCACTAGCCCAACGAAGGGCCCCCAAGTGACACCGACCACCAGCAATAGGCCTAGCTCCTTCCTCTTCAATAAATGGCTCCATGAGCAAATCACTTGAAACAGCAGGAAATCGGGTCTCCTTATTTCGAGCAGATGAGCAGTTGAGTACGGCTTCTCAAAAAAAACTAAACGCAGCAGCGACCAAAGTGCGGGGCTTCTCCGGTCGTCTTCCTCGAACCTCGAACAAGCACGACAACAACTCAGCGATTGGCCTCACTCTCCCGTCATCTCCTTCGCACGAGTACCGCGTGAAACATCGATCAATTTCCTTCTTCTCGAGAAAGCTGTAGCCACGCCTCCAACCGCGACAGCTCCGGAAGAATCTTGCTGCGGGCCCCCTCCTTGAATCAACTTTGAGTTGCCGCATCAACAAAATTCTGGCCGGCAACATCTCGATCTGATCAACTCATCTCCCAGCAGCTTCTCCGACACCAACAAGCTGGCGCAGCTTCAGCATTCGACACCAGCGGTCCGGCGAGCAGCACAAGTAATTTCTTCTCTGCACCAGCGGTCAAAATAAATAAAACGGATGGCTACAACTCCAGAAGAATCTCACTGCAGGCCCACCTCCTTGAATCGACTTTGAATTGCCGCATCAACAAAACTTTGGCAGGCAGCGTCTCAATCTCAGCAACACCATCAGTCCGGCGGCAAGTAAGAGGAGCGATGACCTGCTCTCGGTGTTGACCGCAATCAACCAAACTTGTTCTTCTTGGACAGAGCACCAGGTAAGAGCAGCGAATTGACATGGCAGATCCCTTCTCTCAGCCAAGTTTCTTCTGCAACTGGGATTTTGAAAGCCAATTTTCTGCCTCTGGATTTTGAACGCCGGTTGGTTAAACATGAGTTTGACCAAGCATGATAACTTCTGAAGCTTGAGATATCCCCTGCAATACAAAAAAAATAGAGAGATGAAGAATTTAAAATAAAAATTACCTGTTCCCAATCTCTTACTCTAAGGAATTAGTGAAAATTGGGATCTCCAGAACTATGCTACTACGTGAGTATTTATAATACTTAAAGGTTAGGAGGATCCGGATAAAATGCAGCAGCAAGACTTGACATCGGGATGAGTCCTATTAAGAATGCATCTTGTGACCGGTAAGAGTCCAACTAGGATTCTGCAATTTGATGACCGTGGGTGGCATTTGGCACTTTTGATTTCTACAAAATAAAAACATTAGTTTTATGAGGCCTGAATTCAAAAGGCGGGGAGTTGAATTAAGGAATAATGGCAAAAATAATACTTATAGCTTTTAGGTAGACAAAAATATGATCCAACTTAAATTTAGACAAAAAAGTGACGGAAAAGTAGTGATGAGACTAAAACACCCTTAGTTAACTAAAAAGACCAGCTCTCCGCTCGAAGTCGACGGGTTCAGTTCCACCGCCACGACACCTCGACAGCGCCAACAGCCTCCGCCGCTACACCACCTCCTCCGCCGCTAGATCTCCTCTGGTCTTCTGCTTCTGCTTCTTCTTTCTTCTAATCTTCTTGTCCGCGAACTGTCGTCATCGTTCCTTCTCCATCGCGGATGTCCCCAGGTATATATGCCTCTTTCTCTTTTCTCACCCATTCTTCTCTTTACTATGTGTGCAAATTGACCGATTCCAACAAAACGGAGAAAGCAGTTGAGATGTCGGCTATTGCAAGTAGTGAATAGGGCGAATTTCACGATATATGGTTTGACAAAATCGAGATCGTTAGTGCACACCTAGCTGTGGCGGCTGGTACGGAACAGTCTCTGGCGGAAGAGCTAGAGGCATTTGATGAACATCTTAACAAAAATGGACTATTTTTCAACGATGAGAGTATCAGCTATGCTAATTTGAGTTTGGCACTGAAGTTAGACCACCTTCAAGTGGCTCATGTGCATAATTTTTGAAGTCGGTCTTTGCTAGAGTCTTCCAGAAATTATGCCTCCAAAAGATGATTATATGATTGTTGGGTGGACTCCAAAGGTTAATGCATGAATCAGTTCCAAGTTGTAGATCCGGAGATGCATTAATTCAACCATGTTACTCTTGACATATACTGCTTCTTCCATAATCTCTTTTGGAAAAGGATCTATTTGGTAGACTCTATTATATTTAAGCAGTATGTTAATACTCCGTACTTTATAAACATAGTAATGATGAAAAATTGTAGAAGTTCTTGGATTAGATTTACTCCACTGATTCTTTTGCTGTTTATGCATCGTGTTTGTTTGACTCTGAAACTGGAGAATCAGAAGTACAACATTTTTTTCTTTGCTAATTCGTTTACAACTCATTTGCAAATTCTAGCTTAAATTGAAAAAAGATCACCAAAATGGCAGTATATGTCACGAATCATTGGAAGAGACAGGTCACTGGTAAAGAATTACTACAGCGGTGATCACTATGACCGTATGACGTTTGTCACCGGGCGGTCACTACCGCGGTGATCACTGGGTGATGGTCACTATGGCGTTAGTCAATGAACGGTGCTCACTATGGCGTTGGTCATTGGGCGAGGGTCACTATGACGTTGGTCACGGGGCAGTATTAATTATCAATAGAGCGGTAGTAACTGGGATGGTGGTCATGTGAGCGGTAAAAACTTCAATGGTGACCACTATTAATTAGTCATTGATGTGATGGGTGTAGTCACTGAGGCGACATGTCACTGGACGGTGGTCACTATGGCATTGGTCGCTAGGCGGTTGTCATTATGGTGTTGGTCAGTAGGCGATGATCACTATGACGTTGGTCACTGAGGTGTAGTAACTGTCACTGGAACGGTAGTAACTGAGACGGTGATCACTAGAGTGATAGTAAGAGAGACGATGGTAACTGAAACAATATTAATTGCACCGATTGTCATTGGAGTAGTGATCACTAAGGCAACAATCACTATTCGCTAGTCACTAGTAGTTGATTACTAGCCATAGAAATGATTGCCAAAAAATAGAAGCTTTGAAATGATTTCTCAAAATCCATTTTCGATTTTCGCACACATATTAAGCCATTTTCATTTTTTTAATAAAAAGAAAGAATATTAAAATCAAAGAAGCATCCATTGTTACAAAATGAATTGTTACGAAGTGTTTTGCTCCTGTCATCCTATGTACCGATGTACGTAGTAATTTAGAAGCTTGTTAGAAGTTTAGCAAGATGAGGGTGCACGTTTGATATGAAATGCGATGGAAAAACAGAGTATATTGCCATCCTTATGCGGTGGTGAAATAATTGGGAGGTTAATTTAGTAAAGTAAATGTCTATTAGTCACATTTTTGGAAATTAAAAGAAAAGGTCTCTTTTTTGTCCATAGCCTTTTTTTAGTAATATTCATGTCAAAACCCCTTGAATTAATTGGCTGGCATCAATTGCATGTGCAATTAAGGTTTATAAATTTTGACCGAGTATAATTGTTTGGTTGTTGTTGGATTTATGATTATTGCCTCTCCAATCTACTTCACTAAAGAAGAAAGGATATCTTAAGTCAGTGTGCGATTTGAGTCAACTTATTTCGAGACTTACTTTTCTCTCGATCCGAAGATCCAAGCAAGTCTCGAGGGGGCATTTGTGGACATATAAAAATTATTGGATCAATGTACAATTATGTTGGGCTGCTCGTAATGGTTGTTGGGCCTTATAAAAATATTAATATGGATCCATTCGGATAAAATTTAATAATTAAATTAATTCGGGTCTACATACCCAATTGATTCAATTATAAATTAAATCTTTAAAAGAATGGACCAATCCTATTAATTTATTTATTTTGAGCCCAGTATTAAATAATGGCCCAATAAATAAGAGACATGATCCAATATATGAAGAGGAAGACGAATCTAGTTAAGAAATCAGTCCATATGCATGGAAAATGGCTGCGAACCTTGTTAAAAATGCTGTCCAGATACATCAAACAAGTACTGATTTTTTTAGCTATCAAATACAAGCAAATAGAGCCCAAAGCCCATTTTCTTTGAGGCCCTAAGCATATGAACGAATTTCATGAAACCCTAAAGCATTTTCACCCCCTCACACCTATAAATAGGGGTCTCAGTTGAGAGGAAAGAAGAAGAGAACTTCCAGACGAAGAAACGTTGCAGAAAAGCTCTCAAGAACTCCCGAAAGGCTCTGAACGATTCTGAAGAAGAGGAATAGATCAAGCCACGAATTTTATTAAGAATATACGAATAATCCTTCGTGATTTTGTCGATTCTTAATAAAATAAATCCAAAAGTTGAAGAACGTTCGAAGATCTGAAGGACGAAGCTTGAAGATTCGAAGATCTGAAGAACAAGACTTTGAAGATTCGAAGATATGAAAAACGAATCTTTGAAGATTTGAAGATACTCATATGAAGATTGAATTGAAATTCAATTGAAGATCAAGCCATATATCCCGGGAGGCCCTTAAACAAAAGATCAAGCCATAAAACGGCCTTTTTGTTCAAGATCAAGCCATTTGAAAACCGGTGGCCCTTCAAGTTGAATTCTTAATTCAAGAAGACTTGAAGATCCAAAGAACGAAGATTCGAAGATTCGAAGATTTCAAGAACAAAGATTTGAAGATCTGAAGAACGTTCGAACGTTTGAAGGATTAAAGATTTAATTTTGAATTAATTTCTTTAATTATATTTATTTCAAATTGCAAGTGAAGAATCAGAGGATTCATATTTAGAGATTGTACCCAATATTCTCACATATTATTATTTGCGATTAATTTTAAGTAAATACTTAAAATTTGTTTCACAGGCGGTATGAAGGGCGGCCGCCCTCCGGCCATGATCGGCAGCCTTCCATCAAATCACCGACAAAGCTGTGTGCACGCGTCAAATCCGCCGCAGGCGCCCGTGGAGGGCGGCCGCCTATTTGGCCGCCTCCCGTCTTGTCTCAGAGACCGGCAGCTCAAAAGTCACATCGCGCTGCAGGCGGACACGGAGGGCGGCCGCCTTCCGGCCCTTTTCAGCAGCCTTCCATTATTTTGTCGCCATGCAAAGCCTTGTGTGCTGAAACTGTCAAAAACTCGTAGGTGCCCAGAAAGGCAGCCGCCTTATCGACTGCCTCACGTTAAATGGAAAAGTTGTCTTCACCAAAGTTGTAGATCTCTTTCTTGGCTAACTACTGGTTTTTGAATTACATTCATTGGATTTGTAAATTATGAGATATGACCAAAACGGTGAGCATGTGTCACTTTCCATCGCAACTGCAAATGTCTGACTTCTTTGAGCAATATGTCCATTCTACCATTTCTACGATTGTTATTTGGTTCTGTGTTCTTCATAAGAGTTTTAGATAAAGAAGATGTCAATGTAATGCAACTCGTATCACGAACGTTGAGCAATTATGCGCAAAGTTATGATCAAAATACGAACATGTGTCTCTATGCATCGTCCATTTTCATCAAAAATGGCCATATAGGCGACTTTTTCTTGGTTTTGAACTTCCTTTCATGATTTTTTCATCTCTTGGACTCTTGTTTTTGAACAATTGGTCAACATATCTTTCAAACTTCCGTAGCAATTCATTTGTTGGGAAAACATTCCACTTTCTTCACGCAATTGACCCGAAATTTCGCCAAACATATTATGAATGCGGTTTTCGCCTGATTTCATGAAACTTGAACCAAAATATCTAAAACATGCCTTGTTTTTCTATTTTCTATCTGAAAATCGCTCAAATATGATGAGAAAAATAAGTACAAAAATGGACTTATCAGTGGACTACAAGGAAGACATGCATCTAAACCACTACACTACACCATTCACTTGTTAATAGTTCCTTTTAAGTAGTATAACTCATGTATCCTTCAGCCCGAGAGTGCACTATTCTTAATCGCATGTATTATTCGTTCCTTTAGAAATATATTTCTTTTCTTTCCCAAACAATTAAAAATATAACAATAAAAAACTTATAAATAAAATAAAATATAAGTAAATTCAATACTAGTCCACTTTAAATTCTATAAAAGGTTTAGTATTAATGTAAAATATCGTATAAATTTTTCTTTATGAAAATTCTCTAACAGCTCAATTTTGTTCAGCCTCGGCTCGACTCTACCTCGGAACCAAGCATTTTTCTTTTATAAATTTATCAAGTTTTTTCTTTCTCTTAGATCAATATTATATGATTTTCTTGACATGAATAGTATCTCATTTTATATTGGGGTGGGTTAGAGCCTTTCATAACATTTAGAAATAATAAATTTTAATTAAGTCTTTATTTTTTAATTATCTCAAACCTAGTTTTTTGCGTAATTTTTTAATTATTTTAAAAAGAAGCTATATATTTTTAAAGCAATGAGTAATACACAGCTAAATGTATTCATTCTTGGACTTAAAGTATTTGTATTGCAAATTTCACTAAAAGTTAACATGTTACAATTTAGTTCAAATTTGAGCGTTGTATTTGAATTTGGAACAATAATAATTAATGAGAAAATTGAACCGAGTCAAGAAGAGTTGAGCACTTGAGTTGCTATAACAAAATAATCACAACGAAAAGCTTAATTTGCGATATTTAATTCTATAAAAATTTAATTTAAATTTATAATAAAAAAATTGAATTATATAATTTAAAAGTTATTTGAAATAACTTAAAAGTAAATAATTAAAATAAAAAATAAGTAAATTTCATGCAATAAGTAACTTAGAAATATGAATTATATTTTATTTGATTTTATTGCATTTGAAGTTATTTAAAAAAATACATATTGCAAATTGTGTTTTGTCATTATAAGTTTAAATTATTTTTTTGTATTCTAAGTTAAATATTTATTTATTTTTCGAATTAAATATTGCAAATTATGTTTTTATAATAAGTTTTAATAAGATTTTTATTTTTTAATTGAATAACTCAAATTAAGTTTTTTATTATTACATTTTTATTTATTTGTTAAAGAGATATTTTTAAAGAAACGAATAATACATGCAGTTAAGAAATAGTGCACTCCCGAGGTGAAAGATACATGATTTATACTTCTTAAAAGACGTTAGTTAATAAGTGAATGGTGTAGTATATTGGTGGTTCATATTCATGCCTTCCTTGAATTCCACCTTGGTTCGAATCCTGGTGGTTTCATTTTTTTCTATATTTTAGAAGCACACATAAACTCTCAAAATTGATGACAATTAAGTTTAGAAGTACTCTCATTTGGTAAATAAGTTTGAAAAACATCTCTCCGCCTCTAATTTCGTAGTTTGGGGTTCAGTTTCAACTTTTGACGAAGTATAAGCAGCAAAAATGTTTCAATTTTTTACTTTACTGTTGATCACGAAAAATACATAGT